AACAAAACAATACTAGCAAGACATACAGCTCTCTTACTGGTTATGGTTCCATTTTTAAAAAATACATCTGTTGTAGCTCCAAAGAAAGTTATAGTTTAATATTTTGGGTTTCCTGATACATTTGAACTGTGAGTTCATAACCAAGGTGATGTGAAGTAGACTGTGTGGAATTAAAGGAATAAGTGCATACAGTATTTCAGTTTATGCTATTTTTGAAAAGGCAGGTTATACACGAGTAGTTATGGATCAACTGAAGTGTGTGTCTCAATGAGACTAAAGAAGAAATGCCAAAAATAAAAGGAGAAATCATTTGTCTGCACATGCATCTGTAGATGATTTTCACTTCTTTCATTATTAGAAGGCTCATTCAGTCACTCTTCAGACAAAGCAAAAGCAAAAAAGCCTATCAAAATGAGGAAAGCAACTCAGAAGTGAAGAAGTTAACAAATTTTATTATGTTGAAGTTGAGAATCTTTTCCTCTCATTCAGCAGCTCTCCTAATGGTTAAAGATGGCCAGAACTAGAGCTCCCAGTAAGTTGCCATGGCCTGTTTTCAATCCGTGGAGGACAGGAATGCTCCATATGGGTGACAAAATTATAATAAAAAGGATGGGATATAAACTATGGCTTTGTTTCCTTTTGATCAGCAAGGTAACTGTTTGTTGCTGGTTTAGTAATGCAGTGTTTTGTGTCAAGGTTTTCCAATTGTTAATTCACTATCTGGGAGTGGCTAAACTTGCAGTATGCTACAGGTCGCTGAATACAAGTGAAAGAACATATTTGCAAACCAACCGTCTTAAATGTTAAAGACAATGGTCATTTATGTAAATGTGAACTTAATGGCCTCAACAAGCTGAAGGAGACATTCCATTAACAGGTTAGGACAGATGTTTTCAGTATGTGTCAACATGGTGAGTACACACCTAAAACAACAGCACACTGCACTTCTGAAAGTCAACTTTGAACCTTCTGTTCTCACCTGCCAAGAAACAGCATCTTGGCATATAAGGCTTCTATGAATAGTCTGAAATACGTAGGGTAATGTTCCATCAAATTTTTAGGCACTATTGATAATTTGAGATGCATAGAGGAAATACCTGATGTGTGTTGAATGAGAATGTAACGGTACTTTTCATTTTACTGTCAAAATTATACATGTCTATATTATGAAATGCATTCATGCCTCATTTCTCTATTACAGGATCCCAACTAACAGTATAATCTGTAACCAGTCTTTAAAGAAATACATAATACACATTTGCACAGTATGTCTTGTTACCTGAAATGTGCAGGAGCCAGTGTGCCTTGCTCTTCAACCTGACATGTTTACAATAGCGAAAAAGCCCCACTATTACTGAATTCATTTTGGTTTTGTACTGAGTGTGCTGCAGAGGTCTGTGGAAAAAACAGTATCAGTCATAACTCAGCAACTGCCATTAGCAGCAACCTTTACTGTATGCTTCATTTCTATAACTCCCTATTTTATGTTGAAGTATCTTCTGATGTAAAACATTAATAATGCTTTGCAAGTTGGGTTGAGATAAATGTGCTCCAAACTAAGATACAATGCACATGAGGAACAAGTCGGAAATTAAGTAGGGCATTTCCATCTGTGACAAGGCTTACCAGGAAGTTATCACTGCAAAGTGAAGTGTCCTACATAGACTAGAACAGAAAATGGTCTGGGAAGGAATGTAGTTAAAACTAAAGGAGATGAACAATGGAAGAGATACCTCCAGTAGGTGAAGAGCAAAAGGTCAAAAATCTGGGAAGCTGATTATATCTCTGAGAAACTCTCACTGCAGAATTGCAAAACTATCTAGCTGTAGCAGATCATCCTGAAGAAGAAAAAGAATTGGATCTAAGGGAAACTTCAGCTAACAGTAGTGGCAGCTGCCTCTGCTGCTGTCTTCTGTGGTTACTGACCAAATACAAAGATTGTTCCATTAATGCAAATGGAAATGAGTTGATGGGATTAATGCACATGAGGTCACACCCAGTAAGCAAGTTTCTGTTTCAGATTCTTGAAAAGTTTATGTGAGACTTGCTCTTAAGGAATTGAAGAGGTTGTTTGAATGGCTTTGCCATGGAGCCTGGCATAGGAGAAAGGTCAGAGGGCTCCACAGCAACACGTGTGCCTGAGCTTGTGTTTGGATGAAAAGATCAAAGAGGCTGTGAAATGCCAAATATAGGTACTCACCCTCTAGACTTTAGATCTCACTTTTTTTGGGGCAATTTCAATATTAGAACACAGGGCAGATAGATAAAAGAAATCTCTCGGTCTAAAACTGACAGTCTTGGATGAATAAATTCACCTTGGTAGCAGAATGCAAGGATATTTGAGTGCAATAAGGAAAATAGCAAAGGAATGCCCAAAGGTATGAGTGACGTTGCTGTGTTGAGCATTGATAAGGTTTTGATTGTGAGTAAGAACATAGCAAGTATAAGTATAGTATTGGATGTGCTGTGAACAAAATGAAGGACACGCATTACAATCCATCATAGAATGGAATATGTAGTAAATTGTAGAAAGACCTATTTGCTTTCTCTCTTTTTGTTCCTGGCTATAAAAGCGTGAGAAATCACATAGTGGTCACATTTTCTTCCTGCACTAGGATGCCTGAACCAAGGAATCATGGCTTTTAAGATTCTTTCAGCTTTAAAGTCATGTTTTTAAGAACATGAATGTGTAGCATGATTTTTTGCTGATCTTTGAACTCTCCCCCCACTGTAATAATATTAGCCACTTATCTCAGGCTCATGATGTGCTTTCATGTATTTGTGAAAGAAGAGACCAGTTCAGGAACTGTAGGCACAGAGTCAAAAAATAATAGTGTGGAAGCAAGAATGCATAAAACAAGAATAGCGATGTTCAGTGCTGCATCCTGCAGTGAAGCCACACACTGTACTGAATACTACTCATGTGTAGCATTTTCCGATTCAAGTGGTATACTCAGAAATATGGTAATTTATTTCTCACAAATATTGCAATTCGAAGGGTGAAAAGTTCTTCCTGTGGGGAAATCTTACCTTCTGCGGCTTTAGTAAGCATTGTTTGAAATAAAGACCAGTACTTGGCTACTGGAATCAAAGGACACAAATAATTCCCAACAACGTAATTTGATACCATTTTCAAACATAAAGCGGAAAATAGAAAAGGACACTAATTGGACAATATACGTTCCCCTGGGAGTCAAAAGGGAAGCTGTGCATGAAAATAAAACAAGTTTATGGAACTGAGGAATGAGACTGAAGGTCATGAATAGGCTAGCAGTCACAGTCATGCACAAGGAACGTTGGTATGTTTGTTTTGGTCTCCCACATAAATGCTGTATCTTGGCTTGCCAAGTCCCATATGTGAAAAAAGAGCCAAAATTAGGGCTAGAAACACACTGGAAGAAACCCCATTATCTTGAAATATACTTAACTTCAAAAAATAAGTACGTTTCCCCACTTGATTTCCCTGGCTTGCAGTAGGGTTTCTGATTTTTAAACATTCTTTTCTTTTCCCTGTTGCTAAGTGAAAGTCTTATATAAACAAAGGAAATCAACTGTGTTAAAAGGATGGAATGTATGCAAAAAGCTGTCAAATCTACAGAGTAAGCAAACTGGAAAAAAACGTTTCTTAACCTAATCCTTTCAGTTACAGCAATGCTGTGCCATACTCATGCTATTCAGAGAAAGTTAGTGTGTTGGGGGTTAAAATCATTTGGCATTAATTCTCTCAATTTAAGAAAAGGAGTTTCTGTAGCCTCAGTGATACGCTTGGGGCTTTTTTATTTGTTAGTTTGTTGGGGGGGGGGGGGGGTGTTTCCAGAAGGAGCAATTTTGATGATAATTGTAAGCATGAAATGTCTAGCACGCTGTGAAGACCTGCAGGGTCACGTTCTAGTTACTTTAAGAGACTAAAGCTTCCTTCAGCTTCTAACTACGTGGTCACAGGAGAGCAATGAAAAACTCCTGAGAGCAAACAGGTCATATGTGGGCCTGGAATCACCCTTCGGACACTTGTTTCTCTCTGTAGCAGGTACAGGCAGGCTATACTTCTATACAAGGAGCCTCAGCTGAACACCTAGGCTGACAAATCAAGGCTGTAGTACTGGAAGAGCTGATCTTAAAGGCAGTTTTATGACCTGAAGCTCACATAACGCTTTACCTCTCTATACTGTGACCACAATGCATGTTTGGGTGTGAACACAGTCTCGGGTCTTGTAACAATGGAGTATACCTAACACAGCATAGGAAAAGACATCATTTAGATATTGTAGGTCTACTTCAATTACAGAAATTGTATCTGCCTATTCGTATTAAATGCATATATATAGCTGTTGGTTTAAAGAAATGTCAGTAGAGCCAGAAAAATAAAAGCATCTTTTGCATGTCTTATGCCGCAGTTCTGAAACTAGTCCATAGGCAGTTAACAAGTGATATATGGTAGCTGTTCCGATTTCCAGCTACAAGCAGCTTAAGTAGATTAAATATTACCCTATATTCTTTCTCTTCATAATACAAGGGATGTTAAGCACTCAGGAACAGGAGGACAGGTGGTCTGCAAAATCATTGAATAGGCAAGGCCCAAGAGACAATCTTACTAAGATAGCCTTTTTATGAAAAATTTTGAGGATTCCTACAGTAAAAATCTAGTCCAGTAACAGGGAGTCAGTACAGAATGCTACGGAATTTAGCACCAATAAATATGCTCCCTTTGAAATGGTGAATTAGATGTGCAGCAGGATCTGGTCACACTTCAAAGAATAATATGCAGAGCTGAAGATCCATCTGTTTGCTCTTGCTATCACCATTGAGGCTCCTGTATGTTAAGCAGCCTTTTGACTACTTCAAAGCACGTTTGAAGTCTTTGCTGTGCCTATCCCATGCACAAAAAAGCAAACGTGCCTTAACAGTATGAGTAGCTGGTATTTTCATTCATTTTACTTGTAAATGAAAACAATTTGTTCCTGCTATGTATCATTTCTGGACTTTCTCTTCTTTTTTTTAAGCTACGATAGTGAGGGCCGTCTCACAAATGTTACATTCCCGACTGGAGTTGTCACTAACCTTCACGGGGAAATGGAGAGGGCCATTACAGTGGACATTGAGTCATCCAGCAGAGAGGAAGATGTCAGCATCACTTCCAACTTATCATCAATTGATTCTTTCTATACTATGGTTCAAGGTACTGTAAACAAAAGGAATTTTGGAAAGGAGAAAGAACTGGATTGAAAGGGGAAAAAGTACAGAAATAGCAGGAGGTGAGATTTTTAGCTTGAAGATACCATGTGGCATCCCAGCAGCCACATACTGGAAAAAGTCAGTAGTCATAGTATGTTTAGGATTAGGCAAAAAATGCCTACTGAAACAGCAGAAAATGTGTTTTATGCCAGTTCAAAGAACATACTCTGAGGGTGGGATGTTTTTAAATGTTTAAGTGACTTTAAAGATAGGTCCCAAAGACCTCATGTGATACAGATATTCTTACCAATCTCACCCTTGCTATTTATTACGATTGGGTCAGTTATGTGAAGTCAAGCTGTTACATGAACATATTGCCCAAAGTGTGCAGGATAAAGGCAGGCTCTTAACCCATGTGGGTAACCTGTGCTTCTCTTTTTTTGCCTTTCCAGATCAGTTAAGAAATAGCTACCAGATTGGTTACGATGGCTCACTGAGAATCCTGTACGCCAGCGGCTTGGACTCACACTATCAGACAGAGCCACACGTGTTGGCTGGCACCGCCAACCCAACAGTGGCAAAGAGAAACATGACCCTCCCGGGGGAAAATGGGCAGAACCTGGTGGAGTGGCGATTCCGGAAGGAGCAAGCCCAGGGAAAAGTCAATGTGTTTGGCCGAAAGCTCCGGGTAAGCATGCAAGCATATGTGGTAGCTATTGCATTCTCATTAAGTGAGAGGAAATTTAAACGCATTGCTGTAGGTATTGCCATTCAGCAACCACCGAATATTTACTGCAGACAAGCTTATTGTAGAGCAGGAAGTACTTGATTTTATTACTTCATTTATTGTCTGATTTTCCTTATTAATTGCTCTTTTCTGTGGACTTTAAACTGTTGGTTTTAGCCTAGAATACCTTGGAATGAATCAGGATGAAAGAATAATTTTCTGCTTTCCTTCACAGTTTTTGTTTCTGGTACTGAATTCACACATCTGACTTCTTTGAATCTTGTTTTAAATTATTCTACCTTAAGTTAGCACAGCCCTAACACTTACTTACGGTAAAAAAGGTGTAACTGTGTGTGCATGTACATGGCGTATTCCTTTAACATACGTCTTTACCATTTTGTTGGCATTTCTTCTTCCTATATAGTGAATAAAATACAAATAGGAAGCAAACTATGATTTATGACAGCCATTTGGTAAAGACAGTATAGATTAAGCATTTAAAACTGGGTTGCCAGGAGACCATTTCAAGACCATATCAGAGGCCCAACTTACTATTAGAACTGAACTCAGTTCTTTAAAATAAGGCCTAGGCAGTGTATCAAATGAAGATAAGTAATTTCAGACCACTCGACATCTAAAAGGTAACATGGCATTTTAAATCTTAAAATATTTTGTGTCTTCATTTGGGACGAGAAAGGAGGGAATGCCCTCACGCACCTTACATTCCTTTCTATCACTTGTTCTGCAAGAAGAATGGATTTTTTAAGAAGGAAGAATGACCGTGCACAGTAGCTGCTGGTTCATAGGCACGTCATAATACAGTGGGATAATACACCTGCCAGTTCATTTGTGAAAGAAGCCCAGGAGAAAATAAAATAACCATACGAATGGCATTTGCTTTGGCAGTAAAACAAATCGTCATGAGTCCAGTTCTCAAAAGTGAAGCAAAATTTTGGCATTCAAGTGCAGAGGAGGTAAAATAAATGTCACAGGCAACTTGGAAGGCTTAACGGGAAAAAAGGAACAGCAGAGAAGGAAAGATTTAACAAGATGGAGGGGAAAGTGAGAGATTATAGATTAGGATAAAACAGTAGTAATTAAAAGTATATATACAAATGGGAGAGGTAGGGCATGTGGAGAATATGGGCTAGTAAGAGAAAAATGCCTCCAAGGAAAAGTAAAGAAAGAAACTTGTCAGCAAAGAAAAAAAAGAGGAGGCTGTTTTGAGATTGATTTACATGGGAGGATATTACAGAAATGTCACTTGGGGGTGGGAAGGGATGTAGGAAAATAGAAAAAGAAAACAACAGAAAGAAGAACATGCACAATTTAGGGAGCTTATCATTTGCATCTACAGATACGCCAGTAACATTTTGCTGCAAAGACGACAAATGTAGACAAAAAAAAGTGACAAAATGTATTGCCAGTAAATGTACTCGTATATATGACACTTTCAGTGCATTTTATATTTACCTAGTATCTAAAATCACCAAGTACACTCTCAGGTACTATCTTGGTTCTCTATCTCGTATTAGTTCAACCCACTATTAGTAGTCTTTACGAAGAAATTAATTAGGAATTATGTCACCCTCCCTTAACTCAACAATCATGTCAGTCTTACTTTTGTTCAGACTTGTATCGTAATTGTTCAATAAGCTAGTTTTGTCCCTGGATCTGTACGTTTGGTCTGTAGGCTGGCCTTTGGCAGAATTCCTGACAGTCCTCTACATGAAAGAGCCTTTTGTACTGAGACCAGACAGACCTTCACTCACAAGGGTCTCAAATAAAGGAACTGATATAAGCTCTGTCTCAAGGGATGCACCCAGAGTAGACAGGTAAGATAGAAAAGGGAGCTCACAGGAAGAGTTTGCTCTGCCTCCTCCTGAGACCTGACGTGCTCCAAGCTCTGCAGAGGTCCCCAGTTTTCACATTACCTCTTGAATCAATCTGTAAGGCATGGCAATAGATAGACTCCTACCTTTAATGGGGGATCACAGTCAGATTTCATGCTTCTCACTGGAAAGAAAAACAGGAGTTAAAGCAAAGCAGGATAGATGGACACCTAAATTACTGAAATGTATCAGGACAGTATGTAGGGACTGTCAAGAGACTCAGTTTTGTGTTGCTAATTGAAAATTTCCTGAATTGCTATCTTTATCATAATGAAACCCAGAGGTTTCAAATATATGTGGAGCATGGCTGTTCTAGACACAATAAAACATAACAGTTTTGCTGTAAAAGCAGTTTGGTAGCAGAGCCATTGTTAAGAAATGCTTCAGTAGAAGGCAGTACTTTAGCTGACATATGTTATTCCAGCCCCATACTGTCCAATGAAAGAAGCTGTATCACCCAATCTTGTTGTCATTATAATTGCCATCTGCATTACAAGATTATGCGAGCACCGCCAAAATTTCACCAAAAGATCGCATGTCTGAATGCAAGAGCTCTGTCAGCAGAATCTGGCTGGAGAAAGAGGTATTTCCTTTCTTTCCCCTTGTATCCTGCCCTTACACAGACCAGACAGATGGAAAGTGAGAAGGCAAGGGATGTTATTATCTCATTTAGCAGATACAGCAGTGAGACAGCCAGATTAAGTACTTTGCTGCAATTTACACCGGAAAGATGTGCTTAGCCAAGAAATTAACCACAATTGCTTGGACATCTGCCTTAACCATAAAACCACTATTTCCTCTTTGCCAATTCAGAAATCAGAAGTGCCCATTCTCACTTCAGTGTCTAAGCCTGAGAGGTAGACAAGAAAATTAATAAATATCATAATTAAATGTAAACTATTGAAGGGAAGATGGAGAGAAAGGGAGGAGAAAAAATCAGAGAAGCAAAACAGGCAGGGAGACACAGAGATGAGTGCAGGCATGCGTGGGAGAGGCTGAGAAATAAAAGCCAGAGATAAGCAAGATTTAAGAGTGAATTTAGGCAAATGAGCTAATATTAGATGTTGGAAATATTAAACAAAATCTACCTAAAAATGAGGAAGTCCAAGAAAATGACAATAAGGAAGTGAATGGGAATGCTTCCTGGTAAAGTTTAACCTACATCTAGAATCAGTCTTGTAGCATTAATTTTTCAAAGTATATTTAAATAACATTTGATGGCTCATTAAATAGGTAGAGTAGCTATTCTGCATCTGCTTGAATTTGTGTTCCTTACTTAGATGATTTTTTACATGAAAACATGACTTTTGTTCCTAAATTGATAGTGCAGATTTTTGTCATGCCAGTGATTTCATATTAAAAAGGAGAAAAGTAATGTAGATAGACAGACAGATATAAGCAGAACTGAGCATTTGTAAGTTACTTTTTTTTCCATATTTGCCTACAACGTATCACCAGCACTTTAATATCTTTTATACCAATAATAAAAGAATCTAATTTACGTTGATCTTTTAGAAGCTTAGCCTTAGCGTGTAAGTACCAACAACCATGATATATAGATTTTTGAACATGCAGCCCTGACAAATGCAAAAATCCTCCAGCCATTTCTTTGGTCAGGATACCTGTTGTCTTGTTCTTTTCTGAATGTTATTTAGGCATCTTTCTTCATCTCTTTATAACATATGCATCAAGTGCTTGAAAAAGAATTTTTAAAAAGGGCTTAATACAGATAGCTGTATGTTTATTTGTCCTATATGTTAGCAAAATACAGTGATGAAAAATCTTCAGTACCAGTGTTTCACTTCCAGCTGGAACAACTTTTAAAAGACAGAGCAGATACAGAAATGTTACAGATGAACAAAGAAATCCTTTAGTGTGAGCATGGTAAAAACCAGCTCAACGCAGATGGGGGAAACAGTGAAGTGCAAAGATACCAATGTGGGAAAAGTAAACCAGACATTTTCCTTTCATGAATACAAAAACGAGAGCTGATGCAATGAAACTGAAAGCGTATTTAGAACACCAAAAGGATGTAACGATTTCAGTGTAAAAGTATTACATAGAAACCACTATCCCATCACTGTCATTTACATATATAAATAATAGAGGTTTCAATAGAAATGTATCTAGGCTAAGGTTCGATTTCAAATCAAAATAGTTACAAATTTCAAAGCATTTATAACTGCTTTTCAGTGGTTCAGTAATATTCCTGTCATTTATGACTTTAAGTGGTCAGTTACCTAGGCAGAAGACATAATCCCCTACTAAGGATTTCAGCCACATAAATACATTGCCGCAGTGGATGATAATACTGAGTCAAACTACCATTTGATCCAGAAGGGGAAAGCCTATGTTCTAAAAACTATTTAATCTTAATTTGAAGTTTTAACATGCTTTTGAAGATCTTAATTTTGTATTTACTGTTTTGAAAAATACTTGCTGTGGAGGATTGGGATTCTGTTCTTTCTTAGAATGAGTGTTATGAACTGGACAAGTGGTTGCTGGGAATGTTTTGACAATAATTTGCTATATATACTTCAGACTGCATACAAAATAAGTATTTTGTTCACTGAAATGGCCCCATTTATTACAGAAGGTTTTGGTGCACATCTTTCATTATTTCCTTAACAGTTGAGTAAGTATCAAGAAAGAACACATTGCAACAGATTCAGACTCTTCGTATAATGAGACCTTCTAAAGTAGATGCTAATATGTGTCTTCGAGTTATATCAAGCAGTTGCTAAAATAGTTTACACACATAGCATATCAATCACTGTAAACTGTATTTAAAGAATAGCTAGCTTTGTGGGAATAATAGGTGGCTAGAGTTTGAACAGCATGATTTATTGTGTCATTTTGTTTACTTTAAAAAGGTTAATGGCAGAAACCTCCTTTCAGTTGACTTTGATCGAACCACAAAGACAGAAAAGATCTACGATGACCACCGTAAATTTCTGCTGAGGATTGCCTACGACACGTCAGGGCACCCCACTCTGTGGCTACCAAGCAGCAAGCTGATGGCTGTCAATGTTACCTATTCATCCACAGGTCAAATAGGCAGCATACAGCGAGGGACGACTAGTGAAAAAATAGAGTATGATGGACAGGGAAGGATAGTGTCTAGAGTGTTTGCTGATGGGAAAACTTGGAGTTACACATATTTGGAAAAGGTAAAGAACATTCAGATTTTAAAAAATGCTTCTGATGTGGTGAAATTCTGCAGCATCTGACTGCTGTGTACAAAGCAAAAATAGGTAGTAGAAGCACATTTCAATTAGTCCAAGTATCAACATGTGATTCCTAGGGGAATGTTTCACAAAATAGATATGTAATCACACTGTAGCTAATAGCTAGGAATTGATGTGGTTTTAAATTATTCAGGCCAACAACTAACAAGAAGCGTCTGTATTTACCTTTTACCTTAACACTTAAAATAAGGTACAGAGACTGTATCTCTGCAGTGCTGTTCAGTTGAAAATTGTTTGTTTGTAAATTCTTTGCTGTTGGTTTTTTTTCCCTACCAAGAAACACTTTTGTGTCTAAATAGTTACAGCTGTCAATTTGTACTTGTTACATGTTGTAGCATCAAAACAAACAACAGGCAAAAGATGAGAAATCTTCATTATATATAATGATTGCTGAATGATAGCTTTCCCTCTAGAAATATTTGTGAAAATCCCCCTTGTGAGATCTCACACCTGCTATGCAAAAAGAGAATCTGTTTCTTTCTGGGGGTTAAATATATTTCTGTTGAAGCCATTGCTCAGCAAATACTATTTACTAGTCACTGCAGACATAATTTAATCAAGAGCTAGGATACACAATAGCCACACATCAGAAATAGGTCAGAATAATTCCAAGTAGCTACTTTTGATATGAATAACCAAACAATTGTTTTGCCTATGTCTTAAAAGCTTGCAGAACAAGAACACAGTATTCAAGGATCTCTGGCTATTCAAATTCTTCAAAATTATCTCTAATTGTAGGGAAGAATTTGTATCTCCCATATGTTGTTCTCCTCCTGAGTTAATGGCTCTAAGACAGTTTTACTTCTTCCCATATTAAACATGACTTATCTGAATCCATTGACAATCTGCTGTTTAGCTGTGAGTGCTTGATAAAAGAGTGATACAGTCATAACAAGTAGCAAATTATGAATGTGGAACTACTAATTACAGAACCCCTTACAATTAAGCATCCAAGTAAATTAGGCAGGGAGATGTTAACAACATGTAAGGTCAAGGATAACTCAATTAAAGAGGAGATAATTTTCTTAAGTGGGAATGCCACATTTTTGTGAAGAAATAGTATCGGTGTATGTGTGGGTGGGTGCTCCACCATTTGTCACATGGTAAAAATCTGTTCTTCATTTTCAGTCAATGGTTCTTCTGCTTCATAGCCAACGGCAGTATATCTTTGAATATGATTTGTTGGATCGGCTTTCTGCTGTCACCATGCCCAGTGTTGCTCGTCATACCATGCAGACTATCCGCTCCATTGGCTATTACCGGAATATATACAACCCCCCGGAAAGTAATGCTTCTGTTATAATGGACTACAATGAAGAAGGGCAGCTCCTTCAAACTGCTTTCCTGGGGACAAGCCGAAGAGTATTATTCAAGTACAGACGGCAGACCAAGCTCTCAGAAATTTTATATGATAGTACAAGAGTTAGTTTTACTTACGACGAGACAGCAGGAGTCCTGAAAACAGTAAACCTCCAAAGCGATGGTTTTATCTGCACCATTAGATACAGGCAAATTGGCCCATTGATTGACAGACAGATTTTCCGCTTTAGTGAAGACGGAATGGTAAATGCCCGATTTGACTACAGCTATGACAATAGCTTCAGAGTGACTAGCATGCAGGGTGTCATCAATGAAACCCCATTGCCTATTGATCTCTACCAGTTTGATGATATCTCTGGCAAAGTTGAACAATTTGGAAAATTTGGAGTTATATATTATGATATTAACCAGATCATTTCGACAGCTGTAATGACCTACACAAAACACTTTGATGCACATGGCCGCATCAAGGAAATTCAGTATGAAATATTTCGGTCATTAATGTACTGGATTACAATTCAGTATGATAACATGGGACGAGTGACAAAAAGAGAAATTAAGATCGGGCCATTTGCCAACACCACAAAATATGCTTATGAATATGACGTAGATGGTCAGCTCCAGACAGTTTATCTGAATGAAAAAATAATGTGGCGGTACAACTACGACCTGAATGGCAACCTCCACTTGCTCAACCCCAGTAGCAGTGCGCGTTTGACGCCACTTCGCTATGACCTGAGAGACAGAATAACTCGACTAGGTGATGTTCAGTACCGATTAGATGAAGATGGATTTCTGCGTCAGAGGGGTACTGAAATCTTTGAATACAGTTCAAAGGGCCTTCTGACTCGAGTTTATAGCAAAGGCAGTGGATGGACGGTAATTTACCGTTATGATGGACTTGGACGACGAGTTTCCAGTAAAACTAGCCTTGGACAGCATCTCCAGTTTTTTTACGCAGACCTTACTTATCCAACCAGGATAACTCATGTTTATAACCACTCAAGTTCTGAAATCACATCTCTCTACTACGATCTGCAAGGACACCTTTTTGCCATGGAAATTAGCAGTGGAGACGAGTTTTACATTGCATCAGACAACACAGGGACCCCACTGGCTGTTTTCAGTAGCAATGGTCTCATGCTTAAACAAATCCAATACACTGCTTATGGAGAGATCTATTTCGACTCTAACCTTGACTTCCAGCTGGTAATCGGATTCCACGGAGGCTTATACGACCCACTGACCAAGCTAGTCCACTTCGGAGAAAGAGATTATGACATACTGGCAGGCCGGTGGACAACACCTGATATTGAAATCTGGAAGAGAATTGGGAAGGATGCAGCTCCTTTTAATTTGTACATGTTTAGAAATAACAACCCAGCCAGCAAAATACATGATGTGAAGGATTATATCACAGGTAAAAACGTTATGTATTTGCAGCTTAGGGGTGCTGGACCTATAGATATCCAGTTTAGCTTGGAATTCACGATTTTGGTCAAGTACCTAAATATGTCCTATTTGGAAAAGTTCTTTATGATGAAGCATTAAGCACTTCACTTAACAGTGAGATAATTACAGCAGATAGATACACTTATCAGAAATTGTGAAATAACAAATGGGTGATCTTGAAAATATCTCATCTAGCTTTAGACATTGATTTAGGTACCTGCAGAAGCGATTAAGATCCACAGGCAATCAATAGCTTTCAGGGTTAGGTAACTAAACCTAAACCTTTTGCCCTACACAGTCCTTACCAAGCTTTAGTATTAGATTCTTGACCCAGAAAGATAAATGAGAGCATCTCAGTATACAGACGGGTTGAGTTTTCCAAAGTACATTTTGAAGTACCAGTGGAATACATCTCTTCCTCTCCCACTGACTAAACTGTAACACAAGGTGCCTCAGCTAGAGATCTCAGGGCGTTAGGAAGGAGGAGCCCTAGGTTGCCTTCCAGTACTGCTACATGTTACCCAGTGCTCTT